ACGAATTAGTCTGTTCTAACATAATCTAAACTTGTAGATAACTTTGGACAGTATTTTGATTTTATGTTTTTACAGTAAACCCGCAAAGAATATATTCGTGAATGATTGTTCAGGAAAAAAATTAATCCTTTTAATATATATATATATAAGTGGCTTTTCCACCTGTTTGTTAAAATTCTTCACAGTAAAGATCAGTCTTTCCCAGCATAGATTGAATGACTGCTTTAATATCACCTTCACTTATCTGTCTATTTCTTAAATGCCTGGTTGATAATGGAATATTTCATACCATCAGAAACTCATCAGTCGGATGTACTTGAATCCAAGTGTTGATGTGCCCAATGAGACTCGAACTGCATGTCGGCTACTTTTAATATCACAGCGTAAATAAAGGTTATATTAAAGTATTTTTTGAACAAGCCACGTTTTTGTCTGAAACTGATAAATTTATTCCAGTTTTAATAACGGGGTCATACTAACGTTTTTGAACGGACAATATTTGTATTACACTAGGTAAATAACTTTTAGCTGTCGTAATTCAGCAGAGAGCTAACACTGTGTGTGCTACATATATTGACATAAGTAGTATATGATGTTAGTCGTGAACAAAATGTCTGGAAGCAGAGAGACAACAGGATCGAACATTTAAGAATGGAAACAGAATGTAATTTGTATGCAAATGGAAGAACAATGAAGTCTGAGTCATTTTGGAGACAATTGATGGACATTTTACAGATTAACCGCTTACTATATGATTGTTAGATTTTACTAACAAGTCCTGTAATTTCCTGTTCAATACATTCGATTGTCCCCACTAGTGTTCTGTTCACTACAACACCATAAGTGATTAAGATGATAATATGTTAGTATTTAAACATAAACATATCAAAATATTTTCACAATAAAGTATACGTAAATTTAAGTAACTGAAGTTAAAGTTTTTGAAGTAGTATCAACTTTTTACAAACAGGAAAATGTGCCGTTGGTAGGAGTAAGTTTTCATGAAACTCGGGATTAGAGTTTCATATAGCCCCCCATCAACTATCTAAATGTAAACTGCTTGCACTACGCTGTAAGATTACGTAAATGAGAGTTAATTTGCATGCCCGATTGAAAGAGTACAATAATCTTAGTAAGAATTTATGTCTTATTGTTGATAAGTAAGATTGAAATTGATCAGTTGCCGATTCTTTATTTTCATTCTGAATAAATGGAAGCTTTTGACAAAAGGTTGTGTTGAAGTAGTACATCAAATCCCATTGAACAATTGAGTAACTATCTGAACTCAGTAGCTCATTAAACAACATGCTATAGTTTGAAGTAATAGGTACTTTGTTTGAGTTTCAGTATGAATACCAACACAGCGGTGCAGGTATATCCATCTGATGAGTCCTAAAAAGTACTAAACGTGTGTTCCAGATTTTACTGTTAATCATATACTCAAATACAATAAAACATTTTTATTACTCTCTTTTTAACCAAATGTCATTTAATTGTTTTACAGTCCAATAATTACATTATCCCTTATTAAGTTCTTAACATACGGATTAAATGAATTGAATATTTATTTACCATTCATTCTAAACACTTCGTAATGTTTGGAAGTATCATCATTAAATACATTTTATTTTGTATAAATAACAAACTAATCAACAGGTTTAGCCTTTCTTTCCAGTGCAATTATTTTTACTGTAATTTCATTCACCTGATTTTACACACTGCCTTTTCTTCCACATTTCTTTTCTGCATTTATGATATCATCATCATATTTTACATCCATGATCTATCTACTAAATACAATATACTTGGTCTTTTTTTCTATAATTCCCACCGTCTTTATCAGTAATCATAATCTTCTTTGTGTCCAGTGTTTCCCAAAGATATTTGCGTATATTTTGGTATTTATCTAAATGATAAACTTATTCATATATATATATACATCAAAGTTGTCTTTACAGCTACTGTTTCCAGCCTAATATATAAATTTTATTTCATTTCACTCTATTTCGAACCACATTTTATTTTTACACTATTCTAATTAGGGTAAAAGAAAACAACCGGATTATTATTATTATGGTGTGTGTGCGTATTTTTCAGACTATATTATACAATAGTTTCGACAGAAGAAAAATGTTATAAATTGTATTATCTGAATCCCTTATGAATGTGAACATGTGTAAACTTTAGTTAATAATGTTGATTTGGTTATAAGACGTCTACTAACAATGATAATAATAACATTACCAATAACAGGATATCTTTTAAAAACTGTTTATTAGTTTGCGAATTGATATTTTTATGCAGGTTTATGTCAGGTATCCAAGCGTAGTCCCGCTTAAGAATAATAATATAATTCGTGGAATGCTTTATTTTGACCCGGTTTTTATATTTTCTAATTATGAGAACAGTTGAAAAAGTTATTTACTTATTATGAAACAGTACTTTATACGTAAACTGTAAATATAGTGGTGATTATATTAATGGTAATAATAATACTTATATTTGTTGGTAATGGGGATCTGACCTATTGTGCAGTCTAAGCAGGTTGTTTATAGTCTAGAATTAACTTAAGGAGAACTATGAAATGAAGTTTTTATTACATTTTTTCAGTGCCTACTGATCAATAAATTGTATTACGGAATTTGAGAGACAAAAATGATTCTTAATGTCTCTTGTGATTTCAACAAATATTGCAACTTTTTACCATTTCTAAATAATCACTGTATAAAGTACTATTCATTTTGCGAACTTTTCTTTAGGATTTAAAATTTGTAGTTTATTCAAGATATGTGACGTAACTAATATCTCAATAAATAAATTCAAATACATTTAGGTGTGATAAAAATGCTGACCAGTGTGAGATTCAATATTCGATTTTTGATTAGGGCCTTCTACTCCATATTTAACCTAAACTATTACTTGTATGAAACCTAAAGTCAATCAAATCTTATTTTCAAGTTGAATTATTAGCTTTCTCTTGATATTTTGAAACTTATTTGTGAAAAATAGTCTTTAGACTTATCACATTTATTGAATCTACATACTAAAAAGTTGCTTTTTAATAAACTGTTGAACTTTTGGTGCAAATTGATGATATACTCAAAGTTAACAAAGTGTAAATTTTGCGTTCTTGCTCATTGGTAAAACCTGTCAAGAATCGAGTAACTGTATTTATATTTATATGCTAAATCTGAAAATTTAAGGCTATTAAAGTTTTATGGCTATCTAAACCAGAGTACTAAGAGTAAGATTTGAGTCCCCAATAGGATCATCAACGTTTTGAAAACGTTAAATGCTACTAGTTGAAGGTTTTAATAGAACAATCCAAAATTAATTAAAATTGTCCAATTATACCTAGTTTTTCCCCGTCTAATAATCAAATTCTAGTATTCTATTAAATTATCCACTATTTACACGGAAGGTTTGTGAAGACTGTTAAGCAAACTGACGTAAGTTACATAACTGCTGGGATCCAGATGTCACTGGATAACTGTACCTTCCTAATATATATAACCTCTTAGCTGTACACATTCACAAGTCTAACTGGCCGTAATGGACCTTTAAGTTTCGCGGCGAGGCATTAACTTCAAAACCACTGATCTGGAATCCAATTGTTTAGATTTCTATATTCAGTCGACCATCTTGGGACCCAGGCAGACACTTAATAATGGCATTAAAAGATAGTTGGTCAAAATCGCTAATTGTTTGAAGTTAAAAATACAAACTGTTGGAGGGTGGTCAAGCATTCTGAAAGTTAGGGATTTGTCAAGAGATCTGAAAGTAATGAGTTCTATTACTTCCTTGGTTGTGGATAAGTCTCGATGAGAAGTCTGTTACTAAAGCAAAATAGCTATCTAGTATTATTTATACTACATAAAAACACGTAATTGAATGTAAACATTTCTACTTATAAAAGACAACTACAAGGTCTGATTCTTAGTGTTGAAAATATCCACTAAACTTGAAATATGTATATAATATTATTTGCTTATTTTGTCATTTTTAATACTTAAAACATTGCACGACATAGGTTTTTCATATATCCTGTTCTTAATAATAATGTCCCATAATATCTCAAGAGTATTTTAATTTATTATTGGGTTGAAAACAAATGTTACTGGTGGAAACTGTTTCTTTTTTTCAACTGTGTAGTCTGACATATTACTTGAATTTGGTTATTTTGTACTATTTAGACATGTTAATACCTTATTATATATTGATGACATCAAGATATGTATTGAAGTTGTATTTTTTGTATCTTTTAATCAGACAAACGGAACTATAGGTTACTGATTTCCTGTAGGCCGAGAGATGGAATTCGACTTGGTTCTTAAATTTACATAAATTTAATGTTTGATTCATCTCGGATACATTTTTCGGAGATTTTATTGAATAACTATATATCTATTATTCTGATTATTTTTAAACCCATGTTTTGTAACTTTTAACTATAAAGATATGAGTAAAAAATTTACTAACTAGGTTATTTTTCTGTCTGGAAGATACATAAAACAACAAACCAAAATAAGCTTAACCAATAAACGTTTAGTTGTTCTGGACTAGTTCATTTAATGTATCTATCTTCAGTGATCTGTTTGTTTGTGTATAATTTTTTAGGAACTTCTGATAACCCTTGTTGTTAAGAAACGGTTTGTACATAAAATGATGTTTAATCATTAACATAGAGAATGTAGAGTCAGTATAAACTTGTTCTTAAAAATACTGACCCGACACCTTCATCTTTTCGCTCAATTTTCTAAGGTAAGTGTGAGAAATATCTAAGAACTCCTCTTATAAAATCCATTCGTTACAGTTCTGTTGCTAAGATTAATTCCGTTATATTATTCTGAAGTTAATGATGGACTATAGTTATTTTATCGGATAGTGTCATCATCACCAGCTACCTTTTTGTTGAAATTAATGCACAGGGATAACATAGTAAACATATATACTCATGCATTCATTTAATTTGTCCTCCATCTTTTATTTACTAATTTTAGACTATCAATACGAAGAATTTGTGGTGCATTCAAAAATGCTTCCAATTATGCAACGATCGACATGGGTTCATATTGATTTGCCAGGTCAAGGAGATGGTGAAGAAGAACTACCATCAAAGTAAGAAAGATTTGTAATCACTTTTTTATATTTATCAAGAAATCATATTTAAAAATTAAACAAAAAGGTTCACTTTTGTTCTAAGTCAATCAATTTTATGTAACGTACAACTTGTTACATATGTACATTTGTTCAAGTTATAATAAATTAGCATATTAAGTTGTCAGATTAGTAGAAATAATAACAGTATCATCAGTAATAAAAGTGATTAGGCATAGAAAAAATAAGTAGAGGAGGAAATATGGTTCATGAAATTAGAAATCTTAAAACAATTTGGAAACTTGAAATCTAAGGACGAACGATGAGTGAATATACCTACTTCATTATAAATGATTCTGAGCACATCATTTAAAGTATCTAACCACTGGTTAAGATAATTGTATGGATTCTAATCATAAAGTTTCTAACGACCTACATGGTTTATTCCAAAAAATGCATGAACTGGTACTATATATCACTTTTACTGCCCTTAGATATTTTCTCAACTTACTCCTACAACATCTAACTACTCATATCAAGATAGTTGGCAATTGGGTGTGCTTAATACATGTCCAGAACACCACAGGAAATACAAATAAAGACTCAACAATTTATCAATCATTTTTTCATCTTTATCTGGTACCTTACATCTAATCTCAGTAGTGCTTCCTACATGGCCTCAATATTCCTAAGAAATACTCCAAAAGAATCTATGATCAAACACTAGTATTTAATGAATGTCTATTTTTCAAAAGCCACTTTTATGCTACAGAAAACGGTATGACTTTTCAGAACAATTTCCTACTATCATATAGAGGATAAGTTAGTCTAATAATATAAGTTGATTAAACGGTTAAATAACTTTCTGAAATAATTAGTCAGTTAACAATTATCTTGTAGTACGCGCAAAATATATTTATTGAAGTTCTATTATCAGTTATTAGTTTGTATTCTTTTCATTTTAAGAAAAAAATCAGGATAGGGTTGTGGAGATTATTAAGTTCTTCATTGAGATCTTGAACCGATTGATGTTAGAACACCATTAAAAACCTGAAAGCACTGGGCGACCGTTTCGTTCTATTGTGGGACTCCTCAGGAGTGCGCAACCACGATCCCGCTGAGGAGTCTCACAATTGGACGAAACGGTCGTCCAGTGCTTTCAGGTTTTTAATGGTGTTCTAATATCAATAGGTTCAAGATCTCAACCAAAAAAATATGTCTTGACTAAAAGCTTGTACCCCATTGTTAATACAGAAATTAATGTTATTCTAATTAAAACTTGATTCTTCTTATTAATGTAAACAAATTATGCTGGTTGATGAATTTATTTCATTTTTTGATGGAACAGTGAAAAAAAAACGATCTGAAAAATCTTTTCATTTCATAAGTTCTTATTATTTATAAATAATTTGAAAATACAGTAGTTCGTGACCATTTTAAAACAACTGAACGTTAGTTAACATGAAAGAAGTACTCTGGTTATAACAATCAATATCAGTCTGATATTACGTGAATGTAACTAATAGGTTCAAAGATTAGGAGTAGCCTATTACTGTTATACACTAAGCAGTAGTCTCTACCTTTAATTTGAGAGAGATTTATAATCATATATAGATTTGAATTTGTGTTATCTATTATCGGAGTCAAACACCTATCTTCGCTCTAATAGATCAATTAACAATAACAAACACTATGTTGTATGAACCGTAATATTGATCTTCTTGAGTAAAAAAGAAATTGAATACTTGATATAAACATCAATTTCTTAGGGATTCCAGCCGTATCATATTAATAAGAATTGACCATTAGGGAATTCATCTATCTAATTTACTGGGTGGTAACTCTGTAAGTGATCTACAATAATCAAGCAGTTTTAGGGAAAGTACAATATAGAATTAGTTACTAACTAATAACTGATTAAAGAAATATATCCATCTTGATCCATATCCCACCAGTACCACCAATATGTTCTCATAAATTAATAGAAAAAATTTTTACATCCAATTTCCACAGATTTCTACATAATTCATATCTATGAAGAAACTAATCTTATAATAGTGTAATGATTGGGTACCGCTGGTCTATAAGATGTCAAATTCTCAGTTTAGACACTTATTAATAATAATCGTATTAAGAAAACCTACATTATTTCTTGACTACCAAACCATGTCATTAATTGATTATGGTTTTTTATCTATCATTTGATTTAATAAGTGGGAAGTTTGTTATGTCATTGAATCACTTGAATAACTGTTACTTAGTGTCACATACTTTTGTATCAAGGATAGGAAAAGTAAATTTATTGTCCTTAACTTTAAAATAACTCCGATTTCTAAGCCTAATTAGACAGGATTAAATCATTTCAAATACTCATTATCACCAATAATTTTTTAATATTCTTCTAAATAAAGTGAGAAGGAAAAACATTGGAGAATAACATAAATTCATTATATTTCAAGGCTTCTCATAAGCTAGCAAACCGCTTAAATTTGCACTAGTAATGTCATAAAACATTTATTATATACCTTAATCAATGAAGCTTGATGGAAAATGACATATGAAAAGCGAAACAACATATTTAACATAATAATTAACATTTGTTGGTATTGTAGTGCATGCTACTTATTTTGATAAATATACATGTTATGTAGCGTCGATAGGAAATGGAATGCCTGACAGCAGAAGATTGAAATGAATAGAGCAGAAAGAAAATCGAAGAGCAATAAAAATGACAACAGGATTAGAGAAATAATGGAGTATATCATAAACAACTGAAAGAAGATGTGCCAATGATGTATTTAATGCATGATTTTCATATTTTACGAAGGCACTCTATAATTTTTCATAAGACGATAAATTGATTTGCCCCACCTGAATTCTCGTTCATTACAGTACTTATACATTAAAGGTGAAGTTATCTAAGGAAAGAAGAGAAATTAAAAGTGTCAATGAAATATATAAAACTTTAAAACTATTCAGAATGTTTACACAATAAATTTTACTTAAACAAACATACATTTTAACGGACATTATACACACTGAATACACAAACTTGTACAATACTGTTCAACAGTAATTAGAAAAGATCATGTGTTTAAGAAATAGAAGATATATCTTAAAAATATACACTTGGACCTTGAAAAAAACACAAATACTCTAGCAAACTATATAGCCTATCAAGTTGAAAAGTTGAATCATTTGTAGTTACGAATTAAACGGAATAACACAATTTCATAGTTTTAAAAGAATCTCTGTCCCTGATAATTAAATAATTTACATATATTTTTATTTATTTATCTTAATAATATTCATATGTAAATCATTGTTACCTAACTCAATGTCACTTTATGATTTGTTAAACAATGATGATAAAACTGTGAAAAATATGAGTCGATTATGAAATAATTATCACCAATCAAAATGGATGATTTCCATATAGTATTAAGAAAAATAATAATAAAAGTTAAGAATAATAATCATTTAAAGTTGATTCAATAATCTGTAGGTTAAACACTTACTAAGAAACCTAAAGATGTTGATTTCCGTCCTAAGGTAAAATCATGAATACACACTGACGAATAGTTCCATAATAAATTAAAATATCTGTTTAAGTAATTCTTGATTTTTACTAGTTGTCGGTAAAGTAAAATTATAAAATATAAATCCAACTATAAAATTTCAACAAACAATTTAACCAGTTTATTACGATTCAAGCATAGTTGAATTATTTCTTAATTTATTTGATGTATACTGATATTGTTAAAACTTCCATTAACATTTCACTAGTATTGAAGTAAACAAAACACCAGTGGAGACAATCGAATGTATTCGACATGAAATTACAGGACTTGTTAGTAAAATCTAACAATCATATAGTAAGCGGTTAATCTGTAAAATGTCCATCAATTGTCTCCAAAATGACTCAGACTTCATTGTTCTTCCATTTGCATACAAATTACATTCTGTTTCCATTCTTAAATGTTCGATCCTGTTGTCTCTCTGCTTCCAGACCTTTTGTTCACGACTAACATCATATACTACTTATGTCGATATAAGTAGCACACACCACAGTATTTCTTTATTAGTTAGAAAATTATTATTTCAATGAATTATTGTATATCACGGGAGTGTAGTTTATTTATTTCTTAAAATTAACTGTATTCTGTTCCTCACAAGCAAAAAGCTCATTGATCGTAGAATGACATATGCAAACGAACAATATTATTTTCAAATTCGATTATCAGGTTTTAGTATTTATGCATGTATGCAAAAAAATATTAAACTAATCAAGCAAGTCTATGCGTTAATGATAATAACCAAGTAGATTACATAACTGAATATAATAAATAAGCATTCATTTATATTGATTGTTTAAATCCTTCATGCAAGGAATTAGTCACTTTCAGTATATGTGCATCATTTTTGGGGCACTCTGAAAGCGATCAATAGCTGTTATCTTACTCTGTTTATAATTTCAAGGCAATCCACATAACACGCGCATATATCAAAAGAGACTGATCGATTTCAGTCCTAAAAATCAATGGGGAAACTCGAATATCCAATACAATGATGACTTCACTTAATAATAAATATTTTTTTATTATATCCCGATGAGTAGAAAACTTGTATTTCTGACAATTTGTAATTCTGAAGAAGTGGCTTAAATTAAGTTACGAGACTTCAGAGATACAATTTTTCTACTCATTGGGATATAACGAAAAAATATGTATTTATTACTAACAACTTCAGTTTGTCTGAAATAACAAACTAGTATTCTGCAGTGCAGGCACATCCATTATATGAGTCTCAAATAGGATGGAACCTGTGTCCTGGATCCCAGTGCTAGCCTCCATCTGACTCTACTTGTAACAAGTAAGAAGTATAAGTTGATAATAAGATGACAGATGTGATAATAAAGTTTCACTATGGAACTTAGTCCAAAATTTGGAAAAATTGACATCGAAATAACTATCATTAAAAATTGTTAAAATCCCGTGATAAGAAATGTTCAAAGAATCATA